GAATGTCCATGCTGGGAATGGGACCTAGTTGGTGGAAGTAGGTCATTGGGGGAATAACTCAAGTGGGTTTATCTTCTTCCCAGCCCCCTCCCTCCCTCCCTCTTCCTCCTCCTCCTCCTCCTCCTCCTCCTTCTTCTTCTTCTTCTCTCTCTCTCTCTCTCTCTCTCTCTCTCTCTCTCTATCTCTATCTCTCTCCCCTTCCTGCCTGCCATGAGTTGAATAGCTTTCCTCCTTCATGCCTTCTGCCATGATGATGTACCTCACCTCAGTCCTGGATCAATGGAGTTTCCCTACTATAGACTGGAACCTCTGAAACCATGAGCCAAAAGACATCTTTCCTCCTCTAAGGTGTCAGATTTTTTGATCAAAGAGATGAAAAGCTAACACAATGGGTTCATAGATTTTGAACCTGCTCCCTCTTAAGTATGAAGAGGTAATAAGAAGGTCAAAGTAGTTTGGGTAAGAAATCACTGTGCCATCCTAATTGCCATTCTTGTGACTCTTCCACTCCCCCTTTGCTAATGTGGATGAAAGGAAGTAGCAACATCCGCAAGTCTACCAATATTTATTTTGAAAATCTTCTTAGTGAGTTCACAAAGTCCTCTCTTTAGGTCACTCCACTAATGCTCACAAGCCCCTATTGGCAAACTTTTAAGAAGAGAGTGGAATTTTCATCCACCAGGAAAGATTTATAGTGCCTCTGCTCGGTCCTGGGTAGACAAGAAAGGGATTTGAGGTTGTACATGAAAATCAGATGTGGTCCCTGCCCTCAGGGTGTTTATATTGATGCAAAGATGGATGAGACAATTAAAGAGCAAGAGGGCTCATTACTCCAATAGAATATTTACAACAGTAACAGCTAATTTTCTTGCAAAAAGTCACCTGAGGGCAGGAGCTGTGGCTTGCTCATTTGTGTACCTCCCATAGAGTTCTCTCTGCATAGGGACTTGGTATTGAATAGTAAATTCAGCACATATCCAAGAGCAAAATATGCTCATTTTTCACCAACTAATTTCTGATATTGGCACTATTAGCTTTACAGTTACCCACATCCAAAGTCTTGGGTTATATTTAACTTCCTGTTTTTCTTCTCTTTCGTCCACCATATCCAATTTTCTGTCAAATCCTTTGAATTCTTCCTCTCCATTTCTCCTAAACCATTTTCCCATCCATTCCCTCTGTCTTAGTTTGGCTTATCTCTCACTAAGTGTTGCAAACTTACACCTGTTCTTCCTACCTCCAGTCATTTTCAGGTGCATGCACCAGAGTTTTCCTGACTGCCAACTGAGCCTGGAATATGTGCACACTTGGCTGCTTCTACTCAGGATCCTCTCCCTGAATCCCCTGCTCCATGAAGGCAAAGTGCCATTCATTCCCTTTCCCATGAAATCCTCACTTATTTCCTCCCTTTGCAGAGTTCTAAAGTCCCTTCATTGGGAATTTCCCTCCTGCCCCCACCTTCCAAAATCCTACACTCTGTATCATTCTGGGTTTGGGGCTATAAGAAGAGAAAGTGACCCTGAGCAGAACAGAAGAGTTTCGGGGAAGGATATCAAGGAGCTCCAATGAAGTAGAAGAGATTAGAACCAAACAGACCATTTAGTTAATGCAGGCATCTTAGGGCTTAAATTCCTCAGCCTTCCTGGGAACAAATGCTCCATGCTTCTGCCATAAAAGGACTTTTGAGGTGGACAATGGGGAGTCATGGAAAGTTCTTGAGCAAGTATGTGTGAGAGGCAAGATAGAAGTGATTTTAGGAAGCTTAGGATGACATTCACCTCCAGCATAAGTTGAGGTGTGGGAAGAAGTGAGTGATTAATGGGAGACCAGTGGATGCAAGGAAGAGACGGAGGCAGGGACAAGGTGTTGTGCCCCAGCGCTTTCATTTCCTGTCCTGTTTTTCTTCATCTGTAAAATGGGGATAATAATATTGTGAGTGGATTAAAGCTGACAGCTACTAGGAACTCAACAAAGCTTCATCATCAGTATTGCTAGGAATGAGGTTACATGTTAGGATGTTGCATGGGAGTCAAAAAGGAAGGTATGGTTAACGATGTTTAAGAATCACAAGGAATCAGAATCATGAAAGTGGATTGAAAGGGGTTCTGTAGTCATCTAGTGTCTACTCCTGCCTTCACTCGGGTAGAAGTGAGAGAGGGAAGGAAGAGGTCTGGTGGCCAATAGGTTTCTCCTGGGAGCAGAAGTGGACTTTGGGTCAAGTCAGAGACTACGGAATGAAAAGATGGATTGGGAAGGAGATTAAAATTTCCTTTTGACTGTGATGATCTAGAAGAGATGATCTGCAGGGAGTGTAGGTAAGCTGGATACTTGCCAAGTCAACAATACTGCGAGGTTCTAGGGAAGTCCAGAGTAGGAGCCTATAACAGATGATCAAGTCACACACACACACACACACACACAGTGCATATCAGAAAAAAAGTAAAGGGCCACAACTTATTCCTTATGAGGAAACAGACAGGTAAGTGAAAATATAAGAGAATCAGAGCCTGGCATGGTGACACATGCTTACAATCACAGCTCCTCAGGGAGGCCCTAATTCAATCCCTAGCCACCCCCCCCCCCCCCCCCCCCCCCCCCCCCACAGAATCAGAATGAAATGTCAGGGTAGGATAGACATTGAGCAAGGACCAGAGTTTAGACAGAGGATGACAATTGGTAACTTTACAAAGAATCAAAGAAGGAAGAGGATTTCAAGAACCTTGACTCCATGAAAGTTTGACAAAGTAAACAAGTTAAAAACGGGGTCAGTGTTATTCTGCCTATATTGAGCAAACGAATTTAAAACCTGTTCAGACTATGGATTAGAATCCTGCTTTCCTTATCAAAAAGCAAGATATTAGCATGATATTGCACAAAAGGATGAATAGAGGTACCCCACCATCCCCAAGGTCAAAACAGAGAAAGAGGCTGTCAGATTTCCTGATCTAGTAGGACCTGATTCTCTCAATGTCCTGTACCTCCTTCCACCTACTGAGCCATGGAGGATGAGCTACTACCAGGCAGCATGCCAGGTACTTTACATAGGAGACAGGCAAATATTATGTCCTCATTTGATAAATTTTAGAAAGGTTAAGAAACACCTGTGTGAGGTTACACAGTTCAGGAAGCCCATAGTCAAACACTTCACGGTCTGACTACAAAGACACACTAACTCTGGTTACCCTTTCTTGGGTACTTCCTTTTGGAAGGTGGCAGGTAATGAGTCAATCAAATAACACTGCTTGGTCACCTTGGGTGAATTATTACTGCCTTAATAATAAGAAGCAGCTAGGAGCCTAGGAAGGATTTTCACTAACATGGATGCAGCCTATCCTACCAGGAAATCAGAATCATTTGAGTATTAGGATTTCCTTTGGGAAACCACATGGGAAGGAGATTGGAGAAAAAAAAAAAAAACATCTGGATTCATGTGCTTGTGAAAGGGAGACGTGTCTTTCCCCTTCCTCCCGGGTTTAATCTTTCAAGTTTATTTACAGGTTGGCCACCACTCCAGGCTGCATGAGCAGGCGGCCCCACTATTAGAGAGGACTCCTAACTGCCTTCCCACCCTGCCTTGAGTAGGCAACAAGAATCAAGGATCCCACTGGCTGGAGGGGGCACTGGAGGTCGGGTTTCCTCTCTTCTTAGGAAGTGCCCCCATCAGGGAGGATGGGGTAAAAACGTGTCTGGTTGGGAAAGTAAATAGATGCAAGGCAGATAAATAAAAATACCCAGAAGCAATTACAGAGAGGAAGTGACATTTTTATGTAAGTCACTTTTCTGATGGACAACAGGCCTGCTTTGCTCAAAGTGCCGTGGGAATGCTTCCAGGAGGGGGACCGTGGCCAAACAACTAGCGCGTCATGATAAGAAAATCAAACAAACAAACAAAAAAGAGGATGGAAAGATCTCCGGGTAGTCGTCTCAGGCTGCAAGCTGCCGCCTGCATTTTCACTCTCGTCCCCACCACCCTGCCCCCACTCCCCGCGCGAGCAGGTTCAGGAGTGGGGACCGTTTTCTCCCTAGGCGCTCGAATCGCGCTGTGCCGCTGGAGCCGAGCGGTTCCAGGGCTGGTGCTGTTTGGGTGCGCGTTCCGGGGCCCGGCCGTGGGGCTCGGCGGCGCCGGGGTGCGCCCCCAGGTAGGTCCAGCCCCCGCCCCCTGCGCGGCGCCGGGCCCGGCCCCTGGGCGGCGTCACGGCGCGGCCGGGGAGGAGCGCGGGAGGAGGAGGAAGCGCGCGGAGGGGGCGGGCGCTGCGCCGGGGGAGGGTCGCCGCCGCCGCCGCCGCCGCCGCCGGGATCGTCAGGCCGGAGCCGCGCGGCCGAGCGAGCGGCGGGCGGCGGGGAGGGCTCGGCGGTGGAGAGGCTCGCGGCGCCCGGGCCGGCGGGGTCCGCCCGGGCCGGCAGCGTCCGCCCGGCGGCGGGAGGAGGGAGCCGCGCAAGACAAAGAGCGGCGCCTGGGCGGGCGCAGCGCGGCCGCCGCCCCGGGACCCGCGCCGCTGCCCTCCGGCCTCGGCGGGCGGCCCGCGGCGAGGTAAGCGTGGCTGGAAGGCGCGGGGCGGGGGCCGCAAACTTGGGGCGGTTCGGCAGAGTTGGGAGCGCGGCGGGGCTCGCGGGCCGGGGCGCACCCGGGAAGAGGTTGGGGGAGCCGGTCCTCTCGTGCCCCACTGGTGCCCTCGGCCCCGTCGCGGCCTGGGCGTCCCTGGCTGCAGATGGCCGGGTACCTCCAGCTGCACACCTTCCTGCCCGCCCCTCCAGGCTCCCCACTCTCCCAGATGGCACGGGGGCGGGGGCGCCCACCCAGGGCGCGGGCGGGGACCTGGGCAGGGGTGCGGGCTGCGGGGCCCAAGACTGGAGACCCCCAGGGACGCAGGCAACGTCTGGCCTGAGGCCGGGCGGCGGACACCGAGCCCGGGGTGGGCGTGGGGCCGTGTGGTGGCCGGGGTCGTCCGGGCGCGTGTGCCTGGGAAGAATAGCCGAGGATCCCAGGGCCCCAGCGCCGGGACTCCGGAGGCCGGTGTGGGCCGGGAGAACTTACTGTGTTTATTAGAACTATTTATGATCCCGCACAAAGCTACCGTCACATCACATAAAGGAGGTTGTTGCCTTGGCGGGCCAAGCCAAGGGCGCTTTTGTGCCCGGTTTCAGCCTCTGCGTCCTGCCTCGGATTTCCAAGACTCTTAAGTCACCTGAACCAAAGTTTCTCCCAATCGCTCTGTCCTCCTGGTTTATTCAGGGCGATTTAACCACCAGGTATTCCTGGAAGCGTTTGTTGTGTGGTTTTTAAATCATCCAGGGTGACTCCCTTTTGAGCGTGGTTAGCTTGGCGTTGTGTGGAGGGGTTTAATTTGCAGAACGTTTTTAATTTGTAGACAATAACGATTCGATTCGTCCGCCCGGGATGCTGGGGGTCATTGGTTAATGGACACCAGGCACCTGACTTAAAACTATTGTAAATAGCTTCAGGGACAAAGCAGGACCGCGTTTGGAGTTGGCTCTGGCCACTTCAGACCATTGAGGCTGCCCCTCGTTTGGTTTTGTTTATTTTGCCAACAGGTTTGAAGCTGATTCTGCCAAATTTGTGTTTAGTGGGGTGAGCAGGCGCCTGTCGGGGTTGGAGGGGCCTCAAACATCTCAGGCCCGCTCCTGCAATGACCCAACAAGAAACCAAACCCAAAGGCCAGAGGGCGTGGATTGCCAGGGCCCCACAGGTAGGGGAGTCCCTTCCTTGTCTCAGTTCAGCGCAAGCTTCTGGAAGGGATTTTGTGTAGAAATGAAAGTAATTCTGGGTGTGTTTCATGTCCCTGCTTTTGATACGTTTATCAACAGTGGTTTTCAACTCTAGAAGTGACTGGAAAAAAAAACAAAAACAAACCTGGGCTGCTTTGACTTATCAAAACAGATCTTAACTGTGCTTCTGAACACACCCTTAATTCACTTACAGAATGTTCAGAGATAAAACGGGTGAATTGATAACAGGATTTTGAAGCATGTATGGCGTTTATAGAAGGAGAATGGTAGTCAGTGGACACATTGGAGAAAGAGGATATTTAACCCAGTTTGGGCTCTGGGTGTAGGATTTACAAGTTGGCAATAGGAATTCCCTAAGAAGCAGGTGGTTATCCTTGTTTGTGAGCGAGAGATTGTGAACGAAAATCCTTTCTTTATATTTCTCTCCTTGAAGTTGAATGTAGTTTTGATCAAAGAAAGTGGCCGGATCTGTGGCCATCCGAGACTGAAATTGAGACCTCTAAGCAGCGGGAAGCCGGTGGAGATGCCCACTCACTTCCTCTCCCTGGCACTTAGTTTCTTAGCTGCTCTATTCTGTCAACAGTGGGGTTGATCATGACACACAGGATGAAACTGAGCCACAAACTGCCACCTGGAAAATTGTCTACTCTAACTCCCTCTGCCCACTTGTGGAGAAACTGATCCTTTTTAAATGGGTGGGGCTTGTGAAGTGTGCATTTGAAGCAGCTGTGGTCAGTTTTTAAGGCTTTGGATTTTGTATTATTAAATGCTACATCCTTACATTTTCCTCATCCTTGCTCCATTTGGCCTTGTCATATTTTCACCTTCTGTCATTTACATTGGGGGTTGCTGTGGTTTTCCAACAAACAGCAGATCTTATGTACACAGTATTTGAGAAATGTGCTGTCATCCATATTAAATGCACCCGAAATCATCTTGCGTGTGCACAGACGAGATAACCTTTCGGACTGCCCTAAGACTCCTTGATTGCCCAGAATGACCTGGAGTTCTTGACTGCTTGCATTAGCGGAGTGTGCCCTGGCTAGACCAGTCTGTGATACTCTGTGGGACGAAAATGCTTCTAAAGGCTCCACCTGGCTTGCAGTGTGCCCTGAGAAAGACAGGGTTTGTGAAAATGGCTTTTGGACATTAAAAATGAAGCTTCATGACTGAAGAACCCAAGATTGCTCTCAAGAACGGCAGGAGAGGGTGGTGAGTGATGTTTGGGAAAAAGTAGTAAGCTAACTTCTTTTCTCAAATGAAGTAGAAACTCCCTGACAGCTCCCCCAGAGGCTTAGGAAATTAGTTTTCTCATCCGGAGGGACTGCAGATGGCACTTCCAAATTCTTTCTCATTCCTAAAATGAGTGATGGAAACACTTCAAAGGGCCTAAGCTAAAAATGATAAGGTGTGTGTTAAATGCTTGAGTTAAGGCAACTCAGAAGGAGGTCAAGGCAGGTTTTCAACAGGTTATCAAAGGTATGTGGTTATAGTTAAAATAATTTGTCACTTCTTTAGGCCATTTTAGTTGTGCAGTTTAAAAGTTTAGTTATTTTTCTTTTACTGCATTTCGCCTGAACATAATGTTTTTTTCCTGAAGGTGCCACATAGGCAAGTTAATCTACTGCCTGATAACACACCAACGACACAGTGGCACAACGGTTCCTATCTCCAGATTCTCAGTCTGGAGCCATGGAAATGAAAGGGTTCTTCTGATTGGCATGGCAGTCTCAAGGTGGTGTCACAGTGGTGACCCTGTCCCAGACTGGCCTTTGTGTTCCCTGGGGGTTCCTTTGCTCCACCCACCCTGGGTGTCTCCAGTTCTCCTTCTTCCAGTGGTCACTTCTTCCCCATATCTTACCAAATCTTCCCCAGCTAGAGGTGATGACTTTGTCCTTGAAGCTTCACAGCACTTTGTGTCTGATTTGACATTTGTGACTTTCTTCTATGGGTTGCTTGGCTTTGTATTTTCTTTAGGAAGTTCCAAGCCCTCTGAGAGCCACAGGTGTTCCCACTTAGTGTAATACCTTATGCACAGTTTATGTGCAACATGTACTTATTGAATCTGAGCCTGGATCACTGGGGCGATGTGTTCCCAGCACGCCAATAAAGTTTGTAATAACAGATCTCCAAAATCCTTGTACCTTAGAACCTCCGTTACACCACTGATGTCTTGGTCCCCAGAATATGCAGACAGTGGGACAATTTGGTCCAGTGGTTTCTCTGTTTGGTAAAATCCCTGTCAAATGAGTCATTTGTAGTCTTGAAGCTAAACATAACAAAAACAAGACAGAACCCTGAAATTCATTTATTTTTCATATGCACCTTACGCACATAGCCTGAAGGTAATTTTATATAATCTTTTTGTGCACCTGCATTTTTTGTTTTCTTGTTTTGGGGCACCAGGGATTGAACTCAGGGGCACTTGACCACTGAGCCACATCCCCAGCCCTGTTTTGTATTTTATTTAGAGATAGGGTCTCACTGAGTTGCTTAGTGTCTCGCTTTTGCTGAGGTTGGCTTTGAACACATGATCCTCCTACCTCAGTCGCTTGGGTCCCTGGGATTATGCACCTGCATTTTGTCTGCAACAAACCAAACCGATCCAACTACATAACCACCTGGTGGGCTGGCAAAGTGTGCAGTTTTTCAGTAGATTAGTCTGTGCATGTCAGCCTGGACTGGAAACTGAGCAAAGCATTGCTAGTTGTTGTCTCCCCACTTCATTTGCTGTTGTAATGCTTTTAAGAAAAGAAGCCGAAGATACACTTAAAATTTCAATAGAGGTTGAACATCCCTAGTTTGAAAGTCTGAAATCTGAAATGCCCCCAAACCCAAAACTTTCTGAAATGCCTAAATGTGGACAGGATGCCACAAGTGGAAAATTCCACATCTGACCTCATGTGATAGGTTGTGGTCAAAATGCAGGAACACTAACAATGCGGTATAAAATTACCTTCATACTGTATATATAAAGTGTATGTGAAACAATTGAATTTCATGTTTAGACTTGGGTCACATCTCCAAGGTATGAATATGCATATATTCTAAAATTAGGAAAAAGAAAAACAAAACAAAAAACAAAATAGAAACACTTCTGGTCACCAGCATTTTGCATAAGGGATGCTCAACCTGTATTACAGTTTCTTCTTTTGAGACAGTTTTGGAAAACAAAATGCTTTTTATGGCTAATGGTTAATGAAGATCTAAAATGCCATAGTGAGATAAAAATAATGTATACTAATGTTTGTGTGATAATTTATAGTTTACAAAATACTCTGCACATCCACCACCATATTTAATATTCTAGATAACATGGCAAAATTGGCTCCAGTCTTTATTTCTAGATCAGGATACTGGGGCTCAAGGACAGCGCCAGGGATTACAGGACTTAAATTTAGATTTAAGTCCTTCCCCTTGGAGTTCTGTCACTGCCAAGCAGGTAGTAGAAGAGGAGAGCAGAATGTAGCTGGGTAGAGTTGTTTTCTTATGAGGCACTAGACAGAGCAGAGCGTCATAGCCCTTGGGTGTGTACCTTAGCCTTATTGCTGATGTGTGCAGGTATTGATGGGAGCAGATCCTATGTGTGAGTTGAATCATCTGAAGGTGAGCCATTGGAGGGGAGGCAGACAGACACTTTCAGTGAACTTGTGTCCTTGCTTCATTGTTGTAAGCTGGAGTTACCCTGGAAAACTTCCTGTTGAAGAGTGCTTATTCCTGTTGGGTGGGTGTATTATCCATAATGGAATACCACAGACTAGGGGGCTGAAGAATTTATTTTCTTACAGTTCTGGAGGCTGGAAGTCCAAGATCAAGGTACCAGCAGGTTGGTGTCTGATGTGGGCTCTTATTCTGGCTCCTCTTCTTGCCTTGTCCATACAAGGCTTTTCTTCTCTGTGTGACCTCATTTAACCTTAATTACCTTCTTTTATTTTTTTATGTAATGGGGATTGAACCCAGGGGCTCTTAACTACCAAGGCACATCCCCAGCCCTTTTTATGTTTTATTTTGAGACAGAGTCTCACTAAGTTGCTGAGGCTGGCTTTGAACTTGTAATCTTCCGGCCTCAGCCTCCTGAGCTGCTGGGATTACAGGCACCTGCCACTGTGCCTTGCCGCAGTCCGGCTGGCTGCAGCAAAATAACCGGGGGGTGACGAATAACTTGTGTACATTGATACAGCAGGAGTAGGAGCCATTTATTGCAGGACAGGAGCAGTATTTATACATTCCACACAGCTTATCTAATTAGCATAAACTAGATACATCAGTCAACCAATAAGGAATCTCCACACTTAATGGCTCGCTTTTGTTACTTCTCAAACCACTCCCTCTGGCATTTTGCCAGGCACCATCCAGACTTGTTTACGAACTCTAACATTCCCCTGGCAAAATGCCAGGTGTTATTTTGACTTGTTTACAGACTCTAACAGTGCCTGGCCTTAATTACCTTCTTAAGTGTTCTATCCCTAAATATGATTGACCCTTTGTATTGTGGGTCCTGCATCTGAGGATTAACTCTCTACAGATCAAAATTGCAGATTTTGTGAATGTGCTGAATATGTACAGGCTTTTTTGGGTCATTATTCCCATAATCTCCCTAGAGATGATTAGAGTATATGGGAGGGTGTGTGTAGGTGACATGCGATTACTGTATGCCATTTTATATAAGGAACTTGAGCATCTGAAGATTTTGGTACCCTCGGGGGTCCTCCATGAAACTGAGGGACCTCTGCATTGTTTTCTGGAGGCAGGGTTTCAGCATTTGAATTTGGAGGGGAACTCTGCATTCCTACACCTGGCTGATTTTAGGATGTACTATTGCTTTCATCACCCGGGTGTGGAATCTGTATATCTGGGAACACCTGCCAGGGATGGTTTCAGAGTAGCAGAAGAAGGAGGTCCTGTCCACTCTTTAAGAGTCAGGCATAGAACCCCATGACAGGCAGGGAGCCTTGGCGCT